CCAATGGAGAATTAAAGGGGAAAAAGTCATCCAAAGTCATTGACTCCATTGTGGACCTGGAGAAAGAAACCATGATTGCCTGTGCGGAAGGTAGATTAGTGCGTCTATGCGGAAATGGTTGTTAAAAAAGTCAAGGAAATAAAGCCGAAGCTTTAGTGCTTGTGCCACGGCTTGCATTAACTGAATCCCTTTTACCCCCTTTCTAGTTTATCCCATGGCATCCATTGGCATGCCAATATACCAGTTGTCAAAGCCCCATTTTCCAGTCGTTGTGGCTATGTTGCCTAGAGGTCTTTCACATTCCCTGAAAACCCCAACATTGGCCCTGCTGATCTCAGGGAGGTTGCAGCTCTGCAGTCAAACTGAGAGCTTCACCAGTGAATGATATTCTCTACTTTCAGCCACATGAAATCATGCAAAAAGGTCAAACTTGTTAACAGAGGAATCCTAACCTTTGGCTTGTAGACGCACTTAGTACCTGCAGGTTTGGGACTGCTGCCTTTGCCCACACATTTCCTCCCATGGCAACAGATAGCCATTGAGCAATTCAAATTCCATTAAATAAAGTTTCAGAAAAATTTTACAGAAAGCCTGCAGTGCACAGGCAAGAAGATTCTGATTTCTACCATGTCCTTCTCTTACAGGCCTCCCCACTCCACCAACACAGGAAACTAGGTTCTACTTTATTACAACTAATTAACCAGTGAGAAGTGAAATGTAAACAGCTCAGTGCATGAAAATCCAGTATGGTTCAGCTGCAATAATAACCAAGTGCATTGCTTTGCATGCCTTGGCCGTAAGCAATAAAACAGCATTTCAGAGATGACTGGGGAAAGCAGCACAGGCAATTAGATACAGTGTTACTTCAGTATGCTTACAAAACCTTGTGATTACAATGCAAATAAATATACAGCTCCTTATTTAAGTAAAGCAATTGCCTTCCCCACTGTGTAATAAGAACGCGACACTTCTCTGTGGGGACGCTATATCAGGTTCATTCACACAAGCAAGGTCTTTCACTGTTTCCCACCTTAGCCTGGCTTTGCTTCTCTTTGTGCTCCCTCTTCTCTGGGACCACTCAAGGAGAGATGTGATGTGCCTGACTTGTTGGTGCCCACTGACCCATCCAGGACCACAGCTGATCTCTGCAGTCTGTCCCACGCAGCCTTTGCTGGGGCATTTGTAGGCACACAGACTTTCTCACTTTGTTGCTTTCTGTATGAGTTTGGGCTCAAGGGATAAATAAAGGCATGGAAAATACAAGCTCTATGGTGTGAATAGCTAAAGGAAATGATTCTGTTTAGTGTGGTGAGAGAGAAGGAGCTATCTAGGTTGGAATTATGGCAATGTGGAACCTGCTAAATAATATCCAGGAGGTGCAGGGCTTGATGGGTCTTGATGGGCTGGATACCCAGGAGCAGACAGAAGAATATCTACAGACACAGCTGCAGTGCGCAACAGCCCTGGAAACACACGCTGTGCACCAAACCTCACAGGGATGGGCCAGGGCATGCCCTTCTGCATGGGTGCTCCCGCACAAAGACATGCTGGTGATGGGAGTGAAGCAATGCAGACCAAGGGGCAGTGTGATGGCTCTCTTGGAGGACCTGGGGAAACCACAAAGGCCCAGGGTTTTTCCACAGTGTGGGGAGGACACAGACCCTCTTGTAAGGAAGGGGATATGGAAGAAGGGACCTGACCTCGGTGCCGGAAGAGGTTATGGAGCAGATCATCTGGAATGCCATCATGCGGCATGTACAGGACAAGCAGGGTATCAGGCCCAGCCAGCATCGGTTTATGAAAGGCAGGTCCTGCTTGACTAGCCTGGTCTCTTTCTATGACAAGGTGACCCACTTAGTGGATGAGGAAAAGGCTGTGGATGTTGTCTACCGGGACTTTAGTAAGGCCTTTGACAAGGTTTTTCACAGCTGGTGAAGGGTCTAGAGAACAAGTCTTATGAGGAGCAGCTGAGGGAACTGGGGTTGTTTAGTCTGGAGAAAAGGAGGCTCAGGGGAGACCTTATTGCTCTCTACAGCTACCTGAAAGGAGGTTGCAGTGAGGTGGGGGTTGGTCTTTTCTCCCAAGTAACAAACAATAGGATAAGAGGAAATGGCCTCAAGTTGCACCAGGGGAAGTTTAGATTGGATATTAGGAAAAAACTTCTTCACCGAAAGGGTAGTCAGGCACTGGAACAGGCTGCCCAGGGAAGTGGTTGAGTCTCCATCCCTGGAGGTATTTAAAAGACGTGTAGTTATAGTGCTTAGGGACAGGGTTTAGTGGTGGACTTGGCAGTGCTTGGTTAATGGTTGGACTTGATGATCTTAAAGGTCTTTTCCAACCTAAATGATTCTATGATTCTATGAAGTTCACTGGGGATGGGGACTGTTGCAAGAAGTTTGGCAATGGGACAAGCTGCCAAGGTAGGTCCATAATTCCCACTTCCCATCACCGGGTGCAGTTAAGGCTGTAAAGTCTTTAAAGTTCCTCCTGCTTTGTGGAAGGAGGGGATCTTTTCCTTACACAAAGTCATGGCCAGGCACTGCAATTCACCCTGCAGGGATGGATGGTTTTGTAAAGACAAGTGTTCCTGAGGATGAGGGGCCTTTGCGCTGCAGCAGATAGTCTGTGGAGCTGCTGCTGTCTGCCTCGTTTCTGCTTATGTCTGGTTTGATGCATGGCCAGCTCTGATGAACTGGGTGAGAGTTTTCTTAAGCCCTGAGCTCCTGCAATCAAGACTGTGCGTCTACAGATTCATATAAGCTTTTACCCATGTGGTTGCAGAGCTAGGTTTGAAAACAGCATCTCTGGCAGCCCAGACATCAGAGGGGACTTTCAAAGGGTGCAAAAACTTCTTTGTCAGGGCCTGTCAGGTCTCGTGAACATATTGTAAGCCATGCATGGTTGTCTTCCCCCTCACACAGCCCTTCAGGTGGGTCTGTCCTGCTCCCTGCTGCGCTGGGATCCCCTGTTCCTGACACAGCTCACCAGCCCGCTAGCCTGGCATCCAGCATCATGAAAAAGGGAAAATAGCATGGCATAGCCACTTCATGGGACCCTGACCTGCTTGGGTTCCTCAGACTCTTGGGAGATTGAGAAATAAGAAACCTGAGAGCACTGTTTTGTCCTGTCCTCTTCAATGGCTCTCACCCTGGCACATTAGAAGCAAGAAAATCTACCTTTGTTTAAATCCTTCCCCAAGTGCACTTTTCTTTTCGAGATGGGGGACAAGAAGTCTGCTAGCTGGCTTGTGCCTGCTCCTCACTGCCACAGTGGGGCTATGTGCACCTCTGTTTTTGCAGTCTTCCCTCCTTACACTGTTTTTCTCTTAGTTGTCCACTTTATCCCCTTTCACACTACGACTATCTTTGGTTGTTGTGGATTCTTGGCAGAGAACCTCCTATCCCACAGGGTCTTTAAACACACTGGCTGTAGCAAACAAGGGTGATAACCTTGAGGACTTCCATCTGTGAAGGGACGCCAGGTCCCATTTTACTGCCTGGAATGTAAATGCTGAGTTCTTGCTGCCTATGCTGATGAGGGTGTTGGAGGACAACCGGTCCATGTGAGCATCACTGCTCAGGCATGGTGTATCCTGTGCTGCCCATGAGAACTGGCTACTCCACAAAGACGATGATGATGGTTCCCAGATGGGTGTGTTATCATCAGTGGCAAGGTGTGCATTCCCTAGCCCTTAGGGGCTGTCCTGAAATGGCCTGCCATCTTCCACTCTGCCTGAGGTATTTTGAAGGGCTAGGGTTTCCAAGAATGGATGACACTACATCGGTATATCCGGGCCAGTAAATTCAGGGCCTTATTAACCTGCTCCCTGCTCAAGAGGCAGCCTGTCCTTCTTCTACTTGCTTAGCTGTACAGTGGAAATACAGGCAAACCCCTCCTGCCTTGAGGGATGCACCCCAGACCCTGTAATGGTACAAGTAGACTTGGCTTCAGGGCTCCACTGAGCCTCTGCCCAGGCACAGCAGTGACGTTCAGGGGTCCATATCCACCGTCTAACTAGGGAGCCTGTGTCTGTTGGACAAAATGGGCAGAATGCCTCTGGATCAGGGCACCTGTAAGGTGCAGATAGGTGGGAGCTGGAAACACATGGCTGGCTGTGGGGGCTGTCAGGGGGTGGTCACTTTGCTTCCCCTGTTCTCTGCTGTCTGCTGGTGGAGATGGGAAACAAGGCTATCTCTCTCTACTTCTCTTTACTTGTGCTATGAGCAATTCCATGGAGTGCAATGTGTGCATCAGTTTCCCCACCTAAAAAGACTGAGCTGTTTTGTAAAGTGCATTGAGAAGTGTCTGGACTCCTAGGAGACACTTTCATGGCTCTGCCATGTCTGGGTCACAAGTGCTTTGCTGCCTCTGTGCTAGAGCCACTACCTCCCAAGGTCCGTTTCCAATCTCTTCTGTGCCAGGTGATGTTCTGCAAGGCTGGGAGTGGGCTGTCACTGGCACCCAGTAGGAAACATTACTAACAGTAGCTGGATTTGGGCAAGCACAGGTACAGGTACAGGTAGCTGGCACAAGAAACTTGCTCATCTCTGATCCACCCCCAGAATTTATCTCAGGGAAATGTAGTCTGCAGCAAAGTGAGGCCATGCTCATTAGGAGAGGCACGAGGCACAGCCATGGCGCTGACACAGGGTTTCCAAACTGAGACAACCATAGTGAGGAGGTGCAGTGGGTTGACTCCAACCAGCAGCTAAGCACCTATCCTTGCGTTTGCTCACCACCCTCCCCTGTGGGATGGGGGAAGGAATCAGAAGAGCAAAAGCAAGAAGACTTGTGGGTCAAGATAAAAGCAGTTTAATAAGAGAATGAAAGAGAAAAAAAAACCCACCAAGTGATGCAAAAGCAATCACTCACCACCTCCCAGCAGCAGACTGGGAATTTCTGAGAATGACATTATATGGCATGGAATATCCCTTTGGTCAATTCAGGTCAGCTGTCCCAGCTATGTCCCCTCCCAGCCTCTTGCCTACCCCCAGCCTACTTACTGGGGAATGAAAAATAGAGAAAGCCTTGACGCTGTGCAGGCATGTTCAGCAACAGATAAAACATCGGTGCATTATCAACACTGTTTTAGCACAAATCCAAACCAGAGCACCGTATGTGCTGCTATGAAGAAAGTTAACTCCATCACAGGCAGAGGAAAAGCAGCTTACTGTTCCCCTAGCTTTCACCTGTATCACAGCATGAAATGCCTGGTTCTAACAAAGCAAATGACAGCAACATCTGCTGGAAGTGAGGAAGCAGGCTTCACCTGAGAAATCCAGGGTATTTTAGGCAGGTCCTTGCAGCCTGGTCTATTCCAGGAGGGACTGAGTCCTTCCAGCTCTCTGGGGCTCCCAGCACAGCAGGTGTTGCTGGATTTGACTCCGATGAATTCTCCCAGTGTGGGTTCTTACTGAGATGTACACTGGAATGAATGCCCCTGCATTAAAGCCAGAGAGAGCTGGGATCGCTGAGAGTCATCCATGCTTACCTGGAAGCTAGGCTTGTAGGTTCATGCATTTTGCAGCCTCCTGTCATGCCTGTAATGCTGTGCCTGAATCCCACAGGCTAGCTGTAAAGCAGCATGGAGCCTCCCCTGCCTGGATGTCTGTCCATCACCTTTTACATCCCCCTTCAGTGGAGATAAAACTATTTGTAGGGTGCCTTGCACTTCTAGAGTGCCTCATCTAAGAAAGAAGGTTTAAGTTACAGCATATGAATTGCTCCCTAAAAGTTTCTGCTTTTTCTCTGCTATAAAAGGGATCAAGGACATTTGCTGCTGACATCCCAAGTTAGATGAAATGGCCTTGATCTTAAGGATTTTCATGCTTTTGAAGTAGCCATAATTGGAGCACTTGAAGGGAGAGATAACCTGCAGATTAAATCCATTCTGGTGGTGGATCCAGTAGCACATGTCAGATGCAAACGTCTCCAGTTCAGAGGTCTGGCTTTTTACTGGGGCATGACCAAATTAAGGGTTGGCTGGGCCTCTGGGATTGCTCATCATAAACCTCTGCCATTTTCAGCTCTAGAAGCTTGTAATAAGATTGGGAACCATGCAGGTTATACCACAGAAAGGTCCCAAGGGCCTATAATAACAGCATCCATTTCTGCCTCTTCTCTTGCCTCCTAGCTCCAAGTGGAACAGTGCAAGCAATTACCTTGATATTATTTTCTACATTTCCTGTTTTGGTCCAGGTTTGCTTCTGGAGATGCCAAGCTGAGCTGCACTGAGGATGACAAGGAACATTTTCCATTCAAAGACATCAGGGATGGGTTCAGCTCGACCTTTGAGAAGATCGTTGAGTCTGACCTTATGAAGGGTACATACTACAGCAGCTTGGACTCTTTGGACGTCCTCTCTCTCACAGACGAGACAGACAGCTGTGTTAGTTTTGAAGCCCCGCTCACCCCATTGATCCAGCAAAGGGTCAAGGAAAGCCCAGAGCTCTTGGAGCAGAAACTGGTAGCCCAGCAGAGAGAAGCCCTTCACCACATGGCTGCTGATAAGCAAGAGCAGGCAGCAGCAAAGCTAGCGGAGGGGGATTTTGGGAGCCCTCTCAGGCACTCAATTACCAGCAGCAGGTCAGAGAATGTGTTGAGCCGGTTGTCCTTGAAGAGTATCCCGAATGGGTTCCACGTGGAAGAGTCAGAGGAAGATGCCACCAAGATCATTAACTCCATCAGGTAAGGCAGGCTGGGAATTCCTTGGGCAAAGGGCTCCTTGTCTTATGGGGTCCCAGTTCAGGAGCAAGGCTCAGAGGACATGATAGAGATGGAGCTGCTTTTTTTCCCTTTGTGCTTCTTCTCATGTGCTGTCATGGCAGAGAGGCCAAACACCAAAAGGAAAAACTTTTCCAACCTGTAGGTTAGGACTGCAGCTGGGGACAGGTATTAAACCAGCCAGTCCCCAGTGGGCCTCTGTCTGAGTCCTCCCTGTTCTCAGACCGAGGACCCCAAACTGCAGGTGAGCTGCAGGGTCCTGTAGGAGCCCTGTGAGCCCAAGAAAAGCCAAGGCTCAGCACTTTGTGTTCACATTTGCTCTGGAGGGCACCACCATTCATCTGGTTGCTCACAAATCCCATCTGTTCTTACAGCAGGCAAAGCTGGGCTCCTCCAGGCAGACCACTGCTTTGTCTGCCTGACATCTGCAAAAGCCCTTGGCAGGTTGGAGGCAGTCAGGCACACTCCCAAGTGTGCTCTGAAGTGCAGAGAAACCTCGAGGTTTCACTTAGGACTGTGCTCCTGTAGAGGCCTCCCCAAAGGTTCTTCTGTGGGCAGTGAGGAGATCAGCAGAGACTTCATCCTCTGGGCCAGCTGAGACCCAAACCATCATCCCTGGGAGGCAGTAGCTCATCTGCAGGGCAGTTCCTTGCATGAGGAAAACAGGTGATGAGCAGCCAGGCCATGAGAGAGCTGGAGCAAGGCTGCATGTCCAGCTAGCTATCAGGCCTTCAATGAGTCAAACTGCCCAAAAATGTGCCAATAGGTGCCATAATGCCATAACTGGCCTTGGGCAACAAAACAAAGAGATGCAATCCCACCTACATGGTGCCAGTGGGGCTGCTCAGTGTGCTGTCTTTGGGAACAGCTGGCCACGACGCCAGCCAGCAGCTGGGAGAGGAACAGCCCACCAGCAACAGCAGGTCTGCTGTCAGTCCCATTGGCATGATTTGTACAAGTGGAGTTTCTCATCCTCAGCAAATAATCTGAACTGAAAAGCGTATCATCTATCCCTAAGATTTCCTGAATGTCCACAGCTCTGAAGGAGCTTGGTATCCCTTTCCATACCGGTGGAGAGAGAGGAAGCTTAAAAAGGTGTTGGAGCTGCTTCCTTTGAATGGATACATCCTCATTTCTCAGGGAGAAGTCACCTTCTCTTCAGTCTTTTTCTACAAATTTGAAATTAAACTGTACTATTATATTTGACCTGAAATGAAAGAGGGTTTGTCCAATGTCCAGTTCACAAATGTGTTGTTGTTTTTTCATATTTTTGGTTAGGACAAGAAGAAATCAAAATTGGCATTTTCTGTGGGTTTCATCAAGTCATATTGCTGCTCCTTGAATTGTTTCTTGTTTCTGTGTAGTGATGCCAGCTTGAAAGATGCACTGTCAGACTCTGACTCTGACATGGGCAGCACAGAGCAGCTTGATCAGGGCAGCACGGACACCTTGGCGAATGGCTGCAGGGCAGATAGCGAGGCTGCCAAGAGGCTGGCCAAGCGCCTCTACAACCTCGAAGGGTTCAAGCGCTGCGATGTGGCACGCCAGCTCGGGAAAAAGTAAGTGGGGCTTTGGGTTGCAGCCAGACTTACGAGGGGGTTGACTGAAATGGCAGCATTGAGCATGGCCAGCAGAAACACAGCTGTGGTAGAGAGGGTCTGGAGGAGCACTGCTGGGAGGCCTGTACAAAGGAAGGAAGGGACAAGCCTGCTTTTACAAGGGCTTGCTGGATGGAGTCAGGGCTGTTGGAGATCCAGTTGAAGCTGGTCCAAGTTCAATGCCCTTGCAATCTGAATCCTACAAGTTGCTTGTGTGTATTGGGCATTAACTGCCACAAGCTGCTACCCACCAGAACCAAGAGCTTCCTGCACTTGGTAAGGACTCAGTAAGACCTCCCCTAAAGCAGTCCCCAGGCTGAAGGTTTTGGGATCCAGACCTGATCTGCACTGGGCTCCCCAGGTTTTTAACGTCTGCACCCCAAAATCTTCTTGTTGCAGTGCCTCCTGACCCACTCTATATAGATGGCATGAAGGGTCTGATGGAGAGCCACGTGCACACCAGAGGTCCAAGCACCTCAGCTGGTAGATTTGCCTGGGTAAGGCAGAAGGGAAATAAAAAGTGTTTATTCAGAAGTGGGAGAGTTACAGAGATTTCTAAGAGAGAGTAACAGTAACGGGTGTAGCAGTAACAGATTATTTTAGGATGCCAGTGGGTGTGAGGACACCAATCCCTATCATCCTTATCCTGGAACAGATATAACCTGTGTTGCTGGGGTTTTTTTAATATCCTTGAAATGTCTCACCCCTGTCTGGATCAGCAGGACACAACTGTCCCTCAGCAAATACCCAAGCTTTCAGTACCAAGGACTGTCTGTGACTCCCAGCTTAGTCCTGGGACAGAAGGAGCCTCCAAATTATTTCCTAGAGAGGCTCTTTGTATCACCTGGCAGCATCCTTCTTCTTCCCTTTTGCTGTGGTTCTTGTAGCAGGTGCATTGCTGGTTGCTGCTGCCTCAGGTCTAGCATCCTTCTCCTTTCTTGCAAATTTTCCATGCCAGCTCACTGAGTGGGGGAATTTTCAAGCAATTGGTCTCTGGGGGTGCATCTGAGTGTGTCCCTTTGCTAGTTCCTGCAATCCTCACTCACACCTGCAATCCTCACTCACACCTGCAATCCTCACGCCTTGGAAAGCTCTTTGGTGACCCACATTTGGGAATTGACATAGCCTTTAAAAGAAAACTTTTGTTTTGGTCGTCTGGGTTTTTGACACCTGAATCATTTCCCAGAACAAGAACTAGATAGAGCTGCAAGCTCTTGGACCAAGCAGGTGGATTTGCAGAGCAGGAAAGGACGAAGGATGAGGATAGGTGTGTTTTAAGTTGGTCTTGCTCACTTAAGACAAATGTAAGACCAACCTGCAGTGGGAACAGGGTAAGTTTAAGTGATGCTTTCAGGCCAGCTCCATGTAGGAGGTGGACTGGCTAAGAGGGTTGTTCAAAAAGTAAAATCGCATTTTAAAGCTTTTTAACTCATTCTAACCCCTTTTTTTTCTTTGTGAACATTGGCAATTTTCTCAAAAAAACAAAAAACAAACCAAAACCACTCATCATTGTCAAACAAGTAGAAAAGGCTTGATGAACAAGGAAGTGGAGGTTGGATATCTCTGAATAGTTTCTTTCCAGCTGACACAATTCTGTGAAGTTAACCTCAAATCCAGAAATTGCCTTCGTCTCTCTGAAGAGCACGTGTTTTGGCAACAGAACTCTCCATGGAAGATTCTCGTTCCTGGATTTGTTTTGTGGCATTGTTTCAGCTCCGTCACTATCCACAGTCACACGTCTCTTGCTGGATGGAAATTGAACTGTCTCAGCTGCCAGACCATGAAGATGGTAGTGCCATGCACTTCCTTGCAAGGTTTCCCAAGAGAGCACTGTGCTTACAAAACCACACAGGCAGCAACAGAGCAGGCAGCAGAGAATAGTTTCAGTGTTGCAGTGCGCTGAGAACTGGAAGTCTGTCAGAGTCCCATGGGCAGTATGGCATGGGCACATAGTGTATTTTCCTCCCCTGGAGATTAAGTGAATTTTATTTAGCCAAACTTCTTATGGACAATCTTTTTTTTGACCCAGGTGACTGTGGCACAAAAAGAATCCTGGACAATACAGGCTTAGCTGTGTAGGACAGTGTGATTCAGGCTGTAAAACAACACACATCCGTCTACGTCCAGCCACACAGGAATGAAACTGGGAGAAAAGGCCAGGGCTCCTGTGCTAGCCCTGGGGTGGCTTGTGACCCAGATGGGTCAGTAAGCGCTCTTGGTGCCTGGACCTTCCCAAACCAGGCAGAGGGAACAAATGTAAAGCTGGGGTGTAAGGTGAGGTCAGTAGAGGCTGGCTGTTGGCAGGGTGACCAGCCAGAGGATGCCAGACATGTCCCCATGGGAAACACCTTGCTGTTCTTGTGGGGATGTCTCTGTCATGTCTGAGCTGCATAGTGGAAGTGTCACCCATTCCTGCAGGAGGGGCTGGGACTGGCAGAGAGAGAGAGAAGGCCAGTCCTTGAATGAGGAATCCAGAGCAAGCATCTAAGCCCACCTTAGTGTAGGCCATGGTCTTGCCCTGGTCAGTGTTGGAGCTCTGTGTCCCAGGCATGCCTGGGGCATGTTAACTGGCTCTGGAGCTCAGGGAGAAGGGTCCCATCAATGTCACTGAGCCCCTGCCTAGACATAGGAGTTTGTTGCTTCCTGGGGACTGTCTGCCTTCAGGTGTCCTGCAACACTGTCTGGTTCCCTCGGCAGACCTGGCAGTCCCTGCCTGGAGCTTTTCCAAGCAGAGAGGAACCAAGTGAGGCACAGAGGAAGGCATGATGGGCACCCAGGCTGGAGACTGTTGGCACCACAGCAGCTGGCACAGACCACTTGTCCCGGGGGTCACGAATTCCCTATGGACTTCTGGCCTTCAGCAAGACCCAGTGAGCTGAAGGACAGGCAGCAAGGCCTGCCTACCTTCCCAGGCTGCCCTGATGGGAGAGTGGGGTGAACGGGGGAGCTCCCACCCACCTTCATCCTGCCTGAATATAGATCTAGTTAGGAATGTAAATTAGGGTGTAGGTCCCAGTGTAGGCCATGGAGACATCTCAAGAGTAATTTAGCCCACCCAAGATCTGTGCTGGGCCATAGACATGCCAAGTCTTTTGGCTTTAGGGAGCCTTGGGCAAGGCCGGTCCTTCAAGCCCAGCTTGAGTTAAGTGGGGGCAGTCAGACACTGTTCTCCCCTGTTGATTGCTGCAGTGCTGCAGTACATGGCAGTTGTTGCTGTGTGCCCAGTGCCCAGATTGCCCAAGCAGGTTCCCAGGAGACCTGGTAAACAGATGCCCAAACAGAAGGAATCAGACCTTTTCTTCTGGGAGACTACAACTGCACATGTGAGGTGGGACCTGACCTGTGGAAGGGTGAGTGCTGGCTAGTTCCCAGCACTGGCACAGCCAATGCATGAAGTCTTCTGCAGCCTTAGAGCCAAGAGGATCCCAGAGGAGGCCTGGCGCTTGCTTGGTTCTGCTCGTTCTTTGGCACAGGGATGAAGATGTGGTGACATCTCCTTTCACAAACATGTAGTCATCTTCTGCATCTCACATCGCCTTGCTGTGAAGTTCCAGGACAAGTGGGGAAGTCTCCCTGGGAAGATGGCAGGAATCTGCACACCAATCATGGTGGCACTGCTTCAGACAGACTAACCTGGGGAGCCATGGGGCCATGTTCTTTCCCAGAGTTAGCAATCCCAAGTGATAAGATTGTTTTCTGAGTGTGAGGCCTTGTGGCTTCATACGGCTTTGAAACAGTCTCCTGCATAAACTCCAGCACCAATACTTATGTTCTGCCTCTCAAAACTCAGCCTGGACCTCTCCCCTGGAGCTGTCACACGGCTCTGCCTGATCCTGCTGTGTGTCGTGCTTCTGAACAGCACCCATGCCAGAAGCTTTACAGCATCCGTCTCACAGCAGAAGATGAAACAATGCTGTAGGAAAAGCAATGAGTTCTGCCTGTAACATGTCCCGTGGTGAAACTGGATGTGCAACTCTTAGCAATATGCTTTTCATTTTGTGGGGAGAAAGAAAAGGAATTGTATATAGCAAAGGCTGAGCATACTGAGATCATCTCCCATTTCTTGCCAGCATTCATGGATTATTCTTGCACTTCTGCTACCTGAGTTGTGTAGACAGAGGAACTTAACAGCACCCATTCTGGCTTTAAAGGCAACACATCTGCAAACATCCTTCAAAAACATGGCAGGGGAATGGTTTCTGGAGAAGCATTCAGCGATGAGCAGGGCCAGAAGCTCAGCTGAGCTCCCCTGCTCCAGTTTCCAGGGGCATCCAGCTGACATGCGAGCAAGGTGCTGTGGTGAGAAGGTGGTATGGGAGTCAATGTGGAGTGGAGAGCAGGAATATTACAGTAGGAGGAGAGGGCACGTCCAGCAATGAGAGAAGACTAGGTAAGAGAGAAGGTGCCTGATGAGCGCAGGACATCCTTATGACCTCCTCCTCCTGGCTGTTTTGGGAGGAGGCTCTCCCTGACCAGTAGCACAGCAGAGGGGGGCACTGGGGGCCCACATCTCTCATTCTCAGGTGTCTAGGGCTGGCAGCCACAGTGCCAGGCTGTGCGCACTTTAGGGCCCTTTGGAGGTCTTCCAGCAGCATTTAAAGCTAGGAGAAAATCCCCCTGGGTCTGGGATCACGTCTGCAGTGTCTTGCTGGGAGTTTGGGTTGGCCAGGAGGCAGCAGTCTGCTGTTCCTCTTGTAGACAGTGTCTTCTACCCTGATGAAAGGGCTGACTACTCCCTCTTTAATTACAGTAACGAATTTAGCAAGTTGGTAGCAGAGGAGTATCTCAGCTTCTTTGACTTCACTGGCCTGACACTTGACAAAGCACTCAGGTGAGCTGGTCTCTGGCACTCCCGCGTAGGGCCTGGGATGGACAGAGTGGAGCAGTGCGGTGGGTTTCTCCTCCGGGCTTCCCAATGCCATGGAGGCTGTCCGTGTGATAGGAGCAGGGACTGGGGGGAGCTCCAGGTTGTCATTTAATCTTTGCTTTGGTGTCACGTTTGGCACAAGCTACTGCCACCAAAAGTGGGCTTCAACAGAAGGGCCCACAACCTGCTTCCCCATGGTGGAGAGCAGCTTTCCCAGGAATCCCATCCCGTACAAAATCAGAGCAAGTGGGAGGAACTTCTTCCCTTGGGATGAACAACCCATCCTGGTGCCATCAACCCAGAGGTGGGTCGGATCTCAGCTGACAGCATGTTTCCCTAAAAAAAAAGAGCTGGCTCCATAGACACCTTTGTCATTGCACCTGCAGGGTATGCAGGCTGGGGGGAGGACAAAGGCCTTCCTAGCTGCTCTGAGGACCCACTTTCCATCTCCCTTCTTAGCATGGATACTGCCCAGCAGATTGATCCATGACATCTTTAAGTATCACTTTCTCTTTGCAGGACATTCTTAAAAGCGTTCCCACTGATGGGAGAGACGCAGGAGAGGGAGCGGGTGCTGATTCATTTCTCCCGGCGATACTGCCAGTGCAACCCAGAGGAGAGCACGTCTGAAGGTACCGCTTTCTTTCCCTGGCTCTACTGTCCATTGCACACTCACAGTGCACCTGTGTCACAGAGCCTGAGCGTAAAACTGACCATCCACAGCCAGGTCTGAATAACACCCACGGGGCAGGCAAGGCTGCAGCTTCTCTCTTTCTCTGGGATCCTGCCCTGCTGATTATCCCTAGGAGGGACTGGGAACACCAGGTGCTGTGCAGACCCCCCAAAGAGAGCCAGATGAATCCCCTCAGGATCTGAGGATCTGAGTGTGGGTCTCCCAGGGAACCTTGTCCTCTCAAGTGCATATGAGCTGTGCTGAAGACAAGCTCTTCGGCTGTAGCCTGGATCAGTGGCCATGCTTTGCCCAGCACCAGGGGAGGTGGTGAGTGGTTCTCAGGGGTTGCAAATTACTGCAGTCATGGCTTGTAAAGTGGTTCCTGGCAGTGGGCAAATGAGTGGCTGGTGCTAGCTCAGCCCAAGAGCTTGTCCATTGAATGGAATAAGACATTTCCATGCAGATTGAGGAATGTTGTTGGCTTGCCATGCACAGGAGTTGTGTTCCTTGCATATACAACTGCAGCAGGAGAAAGCACAGCTGGGTAAATTCTGGGCTCACTGGAGCTGCAGATTTTGTTAGCTACTTTCAGCCCCTCCCCATTATTTTTTTTAAGTAGATATAGTTTCTTCTGACATTTTTAAATGGGAAAGGTCATTCCTGGTACACATGTGCACGTGCGCACATGCACACATCCAGACATGAGTATGTCCACGTTCTCACTTACATAAATGCTTCTACACACCTGCTTACAGGCATCTGGCTGAACAGAGAGCTTTGGCTGGAACTCAGGAAAAAAAAGAGAGTTCACCATCTTTGGAAGAAGGGGCAGACAACTCAGGAAGACTACAAGGATATTATGAGGTTATACAGAGAGAAAAAGAAGACCCACCTAGAACTCAAAAACGCCACTCCGGATAAAAAGAAAACAAAAAATGT